AAATACAAATGTCATTTGCAGCATGTATTAAATTGAAACATTTAGGTTCTTATTTTTTGGTTATTTCATGATTTGCAAAACTTTTGGGTTCCTCCAGCATTTCAGTATAATTTAAATACTTCTTCTCATTGCTGCTGTTTTTTTATGCTTATCCTGTCATAGTCTTTAAAGCCTTAAAAAACAACTTTCAGTTTAGGTAATAGATCAAGCATATAGAGAATAGTTTAGACATCCTCCTGCAGTTTGACTGTGTCTCTTAAAGTTTATGAATTGGGGACTTGATCCCCAAGGCCTTGCTTAGGGAGCTTGACAGTCCTGATTTTCAGCTTGATTGGTTTGAGAGATTAGTAGGGCACACTTCTGGGTGTGTCTCAGTGGGTCATGGAGGCATGACACTGGGGTCTACACCTGGTCCCTGGCCCCTTTCACACTGGTACTTTTCCCCTACTCTTTGCTTCCCAGGTGCTATGAACTAATTGTCTTTGCTCTGTCACACTCTTCCCTGTGATATTTCTGCCTTGGAGCCAGGTGGCCATGGACTGACTCCTCTGAAATGATGAGCCAAATTATATCTGTCCTTTAATTTGTGGGTGTCAAGTATTTTGTTCCAGCAGGGGAAAAGCAGACCAACACCTGGAGGGAGGGCCTCATGGAGGTGTTAGGTCTTGTGGACAGTAGCTTATGAATGGGTTAATGTAATTATTGTAGGAATGGGTTGGCTACCATGGGGTGCACTTGATATAAAAAAAGGATGAGTTTGGCCCCTTCTAGCCCTCTTTCGCTCTTGACTTCTCTTGCCCTTCTGCTATACCAGGCTTCCTGCCATGACATGGCAAAGTCGGAAGGTGCTCACCAGATGCCAGCCTCTCAGTCTGAGATTTCCTAGCTTCTAGAACTCTTGAGAAATGGATTTCAGTTCATTCTGAGGGATCCAGTCTCAGGTCTATTATCACAGTATAAAATGGACAAAGGCACACCCCATTCAATCTTTTCAAATTTTAATATATAATGACCTGATGGTGCTGGTGCCTGCCTGTAATCTCCACTACTGTAAGTGTGAGGTAGGAGGATCACAAGTTTAAGGCATTGTGGGCATTGTGAGACCATATTTCAAAATAAAATAGTAAAGGGCTGGGGATGTAGCTCGAAAGTAAATCACTTAAGGGGTCAATCCTCAGCACTGTAGAGAACAATTTACGATATAGCTATCATTGTTTTGGACATAGTCATATGACTTCAGCCAAGGTGCTCCATATTGTTCTTCAATTCTATTACTTTACCTCAGTCTATAGAAAAACATAGCATCTTAAACTGGGTACTTTTCATCCTAAACAAGGTTTTAGATTCATATTCAAGTGCAAATGAGAAGCTATATGTAGTATTGCTTTGAAACCTAATCCATATATGGATATAGTTTATATATTCCCTTGGAGATGAACTTTAATTTGGTTTCAAACCAAATTGACTCTTACTTTCTATCTTGTTGGTTTTTATAAATTTCTCCTGCTTCATTTTAGCCTTTTCCTCCAAATTTAGTATTTACACTTTTAAATGGTATTTTTCCATGGTAAACTTACTATCCAAAAAAGTTTCAGTTCACATAATTTGTCTAAATTTATTAAAATAGATTGGAAGAAATTACAATCAGCACAATTTCCAATTAATAATTATTTTTTAACATTACATTTGCAAAAAAATTAGCCAAGTGGCATTAGATCTGGCAAGATTCACAGTATCAGTATTTTTCCAAATGTATTTCATGACAGTGTTCTTTCATATTGAGCTGTCAGTATGTTTTTCTCAAAATTGTCAGTTGATATTCTTAATAATCAACTTTTCAAAAATATCAATAAAATAAAAACTTTAGATACCTTATAAAGATAGACGTTATAAGCACATTCAATTCATAAATGCCATATGATTGTATTTATAAAAAGTTAGAATGCTTAACTAGGAAACCAAACATGTCTTTTGGCATGCAAATAAATGGCTGAAGTTTGTGGAAATAATAGATCTTAATTTTTCATCTACAAGAGCCATTGCTCAGCACTTAGAGGGATTATGGAAACTGTTATGCAATGCACAAATTATTATTAATCCTATTGATTAAAAAATTAAAATGAATTATGTTGGGGTTGAATTTACAAGGTATTAACAGTATTTCTAGTCTAACAAAAACTTTTGCCCCAGTTCTTAAATTTTCAGATGCAGTTTTTGAATCACTGTAAATCTCCATGTTTCCTTGATTAAAATCACATTATTCTTTTGACTCTGAATCATAAAAAGAGATAGTGATTATTTCTTAGCAAAAAAGCAGTGTAGGTTTGAATTTAAGCTTTTGTCAGTGTAGCATTTAGAAATGTACTAAAAAACCTTAGATTTAAGACTATCTCTGGGGAGGATCATCCTAAAAAATAAAATGAAACTATTTGGAATTTTTTTAATGTGAAGTAGGATTGCCTTGTGTTTGGGAAAGCTAATTTTGGAAGATGTATTCTTAGAAGCAACAGATTTCAGCTGTTGTGGCATTGAAATGTCATAATTTCTTGTGCCAAAAGTCAAATACATTCCACTCAAATTATTCTTTATTTCCAGATAGGTAGTTAACTAATGCCCATTACCTGTTTGCCAGTTACAAGGCTTTGTGTTGATAATTTTATCAATTTAAAATTGTAATTTTTTACAGAACATAGCTACTATCTTATGATTTAACAGAAAACACATGAGAAATTCATCATTTTATGTGGACAAACTAGCATCATTAACATTTTTCAATGAAGTAAATAATCATCAAGTAAAGAAGTCATTAGGTTGAGGAAAAACTTATCAGTGGATGTTATCAAAAATGCTGAAATATGATGAGGAGGTAATATGCTATTTTTCACAACCCTTAGGCTGTAACTACTTGTTAAATC